ACTTAGATTCTCCTAAAATTTTTGAGAAGGATCAAGGAAACATCTTGTAGTTAACCGTTCTAGGAAGGAGTAGTGTTATTGTAGTTGAGAGTACCTTTTTGACCCAGGGAACTGTGTGAAGAGAAGGGTTTAGTCACCTGACGATAATTCTTTTGTTTTTAGCCCAGAATTATATTCTTTTAAAGTCTTTATTTATATGCTTTAAAAACAATATTTTTTTTATAAATAATTAGTTTCATGCGTCAACATTTTCGATTGGATTCTGTGTAGGTTGTCATGGCCATACAGTGTCGTACAGAACAAATGGGAGGGCTTTATACTGCGATAAACACTAAGCATATTTCAATGGCAAGTAAGATGGTAAGTTTTCCTATTTCCATGTGAGAAAGTATGATCAGTTCCTGCAAATGTTGTTTAATATGTATATAGTTTTTATTGTAGGTGGCAGAATACAGTGGGTTGCAAGTGCAACCACATAAAGCTATTGTAGGAGCCAATGCTTTTGCTCATGAAAGTGGCATTCACCAGGTATTCAGCTCTTAGCAATGCAAAGTATATGGAATGTAATTCTTGAAGAATACATAACTTTATAAAATAATCCTTGTGATAGCAGAAAAATAATCTCTTTTGTTGCAAAATAATTGGTATGAATAGGTTATATTTTCGAGCATTGCATCGCGTCAAGGGTGAAATTTAATACTTATAACACTTTGCAAAGAGAGGATTATTATGGTCTTCAATATTCTTGCCTAATGATTTATTTTGGGTTTACGGTTACCCAGTTGCTTTTGTTGCTATTTCTTTTGGTTGCCTTCCTCCATCCATTGAATCTAATGACCTCTATCTATATAGTTATGTTGTCATCCCCTTCATCACTTTGGTTTAGACACGTGAGTTTGCTTGTCCTTTACATTGTGTTACATCAGAAAAAGATACCTCAAATGTTTATTTCCTCTCATATCATATACTGCTGTTTATTTATGATCATTTTGCCTAAACTAAATTTCTTAACATGAATGATTGTAGGACGGAATGCTCAAATTCAAAGGCACTTATGAGATTATGTCTCCTGATGATATTGGATTGTCTCGGTCAAATGAATCCGGTATTGTTCTCGGAAAGCTCAGGTAAAACGTGTTTTGCTAACTGCTTGTTCCTTTCATTGGCCGTTGTTTTTGAAGATGCTCAAATCTTGTCTGGTGCTTGGGTACTTGCCTTTCAAGGTTCACAATATTCCTTAATTTCTGTAATATTTTTTGAAATATTCATGTTTGCTGTTGAGTACAAGCGTACTTCCCAATTCTGTAGTCAAGGTTATCGATAGCAGATAGCGTCGCGTAGCGGTGAGGCATCACTAAGGCTATTTCGGGCTATTACGGCAAAATAGCGGTAAAAAGCGCAAAGTCAAATAGCTGTCTAATTTAGATATGTATAAATACTAAAAAAAGAAAAAATAAAGAAAAATCTAAGAAATTTAAAAGTACATATTGGATGATTTAAAGAGATCTTAAACATGAAATAGACATGTAATCATCACGTAATACCGAAGATGACTGGAGGAGTTAAAAAGTCGTCTTCTTCGAGAAGAAGAGCTTAGGGGTGATAGGACTGCCTTAAGAGGAGCTCACAGTGAAGGAGGTGAGAGGAAGTATCAAGGTAGGTGCCAGAGGTTATGAGAGGTGACGGGAGTATGCTGAAAATCACAAGAGACGGTGGAATGCAATGGTCAATGATTGAGTTTAATTTTAAAAAAATAAGCCTCAAACCGTTTTTAAATAACAGTCAAAAAACAAATTTCGAATGCAATCGCTCACTATTTACTGTTATGACACACTATTGACCGTTTTTGCGAACAAACATATTTCGTAATATGTCACCATTATTGCGCGATAGCGTAGCGTGCAATAGCGTCGCGGGAAGGGACCGCTAACGCTATTAGCGCCGCTATTGCGGGGCTATTTACCGCTATTTATAACAGTCTGTAGTAACTTACGAGTTTGTTGTTCTGCTATCCCACCAATGAATTATTAGTACAGAATGTGCAGTTAAAAACTGGTGAGCTATTTTGATCTATGGCCAATAATGTTGGGATTGAGTTAAGCTACCCTGGGGCGGGGGGTCGGGGTGAATAGGGTTGCATCGAAAAGGATGTTATTTTTAAAAAGTTTTGCAACTAAATAAATGGAAGAAAACAACCAAGCAAACAATCAAACACAAACGCACGATTTTACGTGGTTCAGCATATGCCTACATTCACGGACTTCACCCCAGTGAAATCGATCTACTATATGAGAACGTACCTAACTCCCAAGTTCGTCAAAGCTCGTACATCTGATCATACCTGATCTCACGAAAGCATAAAGCATGATATAACTCTCGGATACTCAATCTATCCCAAGACTGAGAATGCTCGCCGAATCAATTCACGCTTGATCAATGGGTCAAATTGAAAAAGATTTAAGATAAAAATATGTCCCTAAACAATTGAGTTGATCTTTAGTAGATGATGCTGATGTCGCTGCAGAGATCCTTTCTGAGTTATGGCGTGGACATCTTCTTCAAATCACAGGATAATCAAGAGGAAAAGACCAATCAATCTCTCCAATGAAAAACCCTAGCTTCTCTCTTTTCTCTCTCTCAAAAAGAATAATCTCCGCAATCTCTCTTCTCTCTATCCTCTAATCTGTAGGAAAACAGCCCTGGAGATGTATACATAGATAACTCGAAGAAGTGGTTCAGCCCAAACTTGTTGACCAGGCTCCTGGTCCTGACCACCAGCTGCCTGCTCTTGCATCAGCCGCCTTCTTGAAGTTCCAGCCACCTCTGTAAAGGATATCCAAAAGTCCGTTTTCTATTTTGCCAATTTCAGCCGCCTGGACTTCTGTTCAGCCGCCTCTGAAGATTTTCTGAAAGTACCACATTCTGTCTTGTGATTTCAGGCTTCAGCTGCCCGAAGTATATGACCAGCCAGCTGATCTGTTGCTGATTATTATGTGTATTGCTAAAACCTTCATAACTTGAACTATACAACTCTAAATTGAGTTCCGTTTGTTTCTGTAGATTCGTAACAAAGAGACGGTCGCTCTCATGTTCAAAGTTAATTTTAGCTTCTGATATCTTTCCAGGATTAAATGTGAACTTGTATAACCTGCAGACTTCATCTCGAATCACCATCAAATATATTTGGACGTTTGCTACTAATCAAACCAAGTTGATTGTGTGATCAACATCCAACAAATGATGTTTAAAACCTAACAAAACTTGGTGCGAGGATTTTTGAACTTTTTTGAAGATTCGGATTAAAATTTTAAGTGGTTCGAGTCCTTCCGAAGGATCCTTCTTCCCCTGCTCTCTCTGAGTGTGTGCAGTGGTTCAAGTCCTTCCGAAGGATCCTTCCCCCCCTGCTCTCTCTGAGTGTGTGCACACATGCATGTGTGTGTGTGTGCTGTGCATGCATGTGTGCTGTCAGGCACCAGTGTGCCTGTTTTTCAGATGTTCTGCCAATTTTACTTAATGATTTGAATGCAAATTATGGGTTTACATATGTTTCATTCATCTGTGATTTTGAAAGTTATTCTGTAGGATATGAAGCGCAATATTTCTTACTGTTTTGACGACTCTTTTACTGTTGTCTTTGCAGTGGTCGCCATGCTTTGAAATCTAAGCTTTCTGAGGTAAGATCTGATTGCGTACTTTATAGTCTTTTGTAACTGGCTTTTACAATTATTGACTACCTGTATAAACGTCATTATTATTTATGATTTTTAGCTAGGTTATATAATAGACGGGAAGGAACTTGATGATGTGTTCAAGCGCTTCAAAGAAATTGCAGAAAAAAAGAAGGTAAGATGAATCTCTAGTATCCTAAATTGATTGGTTTTTTCTTCTTACCACCCTATTCTGTTTTAAGGGTATGAGAGCATGTTCAAACAATACCGAGATGCAGAATAATTTTAGAATGCATGCTGTATGTATTTCAAAGCATTATCAAAGAGCAAAACATGGATAACACAACCAGTTTGATTAAAATTCTCTTTATGTAACCATCAAGTGAGATTAATTTAACAGCAAACTTCCGTTAACAACCAAGTCATTCTTGCATAACCATCTACAGAATCCAAGACATTCTCATTATGAGGACCCAAATATCAGTACGTGTCGTTTCTAATGAAGAATTAGATCCAATTTTACCTCTAGGAGGAAAGAGACAATATGATGTCATAATTGACATGACACATTGCAATTGAGACACTGTTGCTGACTACATCTATGAACTAACAACATTATTGGCCCCATGAACAATATATTACCATTATTGAGCACTTCTAGGAGACTGAGGAGCAAGCCTAATATGATATGTAGAAATTGAATAATGGGCTTATATTTCTCATGCATTTCTTGATGTTATCTTGAATTTCAAAATCTTTCTTAATTTTGCGGTTGAACTTTTTAAGTCCATGTGACTTATTTGATGACATGGAGTAGTAGACCATCCCTTTTATGTTACATTGTAATTTTTTGGATTTAGTTCATCAATAATAATAAATGGCTAAGAAGGTTAGGTTCTTTCATCCTTCTAAGAAACGTGAGCATTTCCATCTGAGATGACGCTTTATATTTAATGGACATCTGATGATTCTGATCCTTGAAGTAATTGACATACCCTTCAATCTGCATCTCGTGCTTCATTTTTACAAGTTTCTTTTTTGTTTCTTTTGCCTCCATGTAGGTTGGAGTTGCCGACTGTTTAATTAAATATTTTCATGTAGTTAATGAGATAATCCTTTAAAATACTTTGTTTGTGACAGCATATATCTGATGATGACATAGAAGCACTGATTACAAATGAGTTATTTCAACCGAAAGTCATTTGGTCACTTGGTGGTTTACAGGTGAGGCTCTAAGCAAGTTATATTACACTGATGATTTTGTATATGTATGTAATTCTTGTTGGGCCTTTGTGATTTGTAAGCACAGGTTACCTCTGGTTCTCTTGGCCTCTCTACAGCAACCGTGAAGCTTGTTACAGCAGATAATAAAGAGAAGATTGCATGCTCAATAGGAACAGGTCCAGTTGATGCAGCTTATAAAGCTGTCGATAGTATAGTCCAGGTGATTAGAAAATAGTAGTCTTTGCTTTTCAATTGTACAGAAAATCTTTGTACACCCCCCATTCTCAAATATATTTATAGCTGTCTTGAAAATATATTTATATCTGTCTTGAATGTAATATTAGTATGGAAGTTAAAAAAAAAAGTTTCGAGAACCTTCTTTTAGGAGGACCTTAATATCATCATATCCTCATTTATCAACTATCATTTATATCCGGCTTCTGACAATGTAATGAAGTGGCTTAAGCTGTATAACCAATGACTAACTAATATTCTGCGCTTTGAAGTTACCTAATGCATTGCTAAGTCATAAAGCAACCTTTTCTTTAACTAAACAAGATGGCTATGATAGTACTGCGTGTTATATAAGTTAGGAGAAGATGCCTCCTTCTAGCACTGCATTGAATTAGAAAATGCTTTCTTTTTCAGATTCCAGTGACCCTTCTAGAGTACTCGATGAATGCAGTCACAGAAGGTATAGATGCAATTGCCTCAACAAGAGTACGTATTCGTGGAGATGACAGCCCTTTATCTACCCACGCCATGTCAGGAGAAACTATCCGTACTTTCAGGTATTTATATAACGTTTTAATACTATATTCATGTCTTATTATTAGCAGCGAAAGGATGAAAATGACTCGAAGGATAATACTCTCACTTTTTATAATTGGGGTTAATTTCATATATACCCATTTAATCTCAATGTTTTGAACTTACTACCCCTGTAGTGTCATTGTTGCAGATATTGTCCCGGAGATTTTTTTTATTCATTTTACATCAAATAGCCTAGCTAATTTCACCTAGAAACAATAGTAAATTTCCACCAAGGATAAAATGTCCAAAAAAAAAGGCCCTAGGGTGTCTGCCACAATGGAACTATAGAGGTAGTGAGTTCAAACAATGCTACTACAAGGGGTCTACGTGGAATTAACCCTTTATAATTTGTAATGTTTTTTGAACGCGTGCCTTGTTTCGTTTTCCTGCAGTGGAAGTGGAGCAGATGTGGATGTTGTGGTTTCAAGCGTTCGTGCATATCTGAGCGCATTAAACAAGATGTTGGGTTTTAGGGACAGGTCTTCGGGCGAAAGTACAAAGAATAGTAAAAGGGTTATGGTTCAGAGTGGATAGAATTTTCGTTGTGGTAGAAGAAACGGTCTAATTTATGATCTCAAGGGAAGCGTTTCATCTCACTTTCAAGTTTCAAACTGTAGGGTAGAGTGGGTTTATGTACATGACAATGTACTTTTTAAGTGTTATTTTAGTTCTAAAGTTTAGTTAGCCGTAGTCCCTGCTTTTGTTTAGAGAATTAATGAGGTTTGCTTAATGAATGTACTTTATAATAAAAGTTGAGCTGAGTTTATACAAATGCAGCGTTGCTAGATGTTAGCTGTTACTGTCCATTGCCATCTGTCACGTTTCGTGTTGTTGAGGCAAGTATGCATCATGCATCTTTAAATAGGGACTCTGTAAAAACAACAGAATTCCTAATCTAATTAGAGACTCACTGAAAACTAAACATAAAGTCTCATTAACAAGCACAAAAGAGTACTGGATACTAACAGAAGCTTCATCAAACAAGGCCTTACAGAAATCAGGGCGAACTCAAATCAAGTCGCATTGAGCTGTGCTGCTTCTTGTACTTAAGATTCTGGTAACCTCTTCATGAGTATAGTCTTTCTACTCGATTAGCATCAAGAAGAATCTTGCCTTCAGATTCTGCCAATTTCATGTCGACCTCATCTCCATCGTATCCGTAAGACATGAAACTTATTTCATAGCATATAGTTTCTTCTTTCTTAGCAATGAGTACATTATACCCTGCGGAAATATTTAGTGTAATACGCTAAATGAGATGCAACATCTTCTTCCAGTGATTAAGCTTGTAGCGGGCATGCTAAGCTTGTTTTATAGCCAAGAGCTCATTTGACGAATTGATACAAGCAGTTTTGATTATGACTCTAGTAGTCATTATTGTTAACTGCCTTATTGGCGACAATGGCTTCTCTCTCTGGTGAATCAAAAGTCATATGGTACACTGCATCTTGATTTCTAGCATACAATTGTATTTTATCTTATACTATTATAAAGCTGTGTGAGATGTTAAAATATTTTCTTCCAAAAATACCCTTTAAAACACATACATACATCCATAAACTATCTTATATCTTATACTCTTATAAAAGCGTGTAGGATGTTAAAATATTTTCGTCCAAAATTGCCCTTCAAAACACATACATGCATCCATAAAACAAATATATGCATATATCAAAACTTATATACGCAAACACATAAATAAACACATGCATACATACATAAACCACACACTTTCTCATAACCCCCATTAAATTAAATGTAATAAATATCAATTAAAAAATGAAAGAGAAATTAAAAGATTGGGAGCATAAATGGGAGTTGATGCATGGGAAAATGAAGGAAAAATGAAGGGTTGGAAGTTACATTCGGAATAGTTCTGTTTATATTATCCTATACATTATATTATGATAAAAGAATTTGTACAGTGTAGGATAATAATTTGTACCTTATAACTGGGTTTGTGTGTGTGGGTGTGTGGGGTGCGGTATGTTTATCACTGAGTAGGTTGAAATTTCATTATAAAAATCTAAATTTTACTCAATAGATCACTCACCTATTAACCTCCTGGTCCTCCTCACATTCGTAACTTCTCAAACTATCTATTAATTTTCTACTCAACCATAACTTCAATATCCATTAATTCTATTCTTTTTCCATCACTTACCAACCAACGTCCACGCAATCTCTTGATCCGTCTATTACATGACTTCACTCTCCTCGCTATAAATGCAACTTTCACCTCAAATTGAGAGAGAGAGCAGAATGTGGCCAGCAAAAGTAAAGAAAAAACTAGTACAAAGAGTTTCATTTGTACGTAGCAAATCAAAAGATGTCCTTGGCCGATGGTGGATGCAGTGCTCTGCTTCATCAGGTTCGACGCGAAACACAATGGGTAGTTGACGTGGATGAAGAAGAGCGGATAGGTTAGAATTGAAGGACGTCGGAAGTGGACATAATGGTGATCGAGCAGTGCTTTCTTGGTGTCATTGGGTGCACGGCAGTGGCGTAGCTAGGAATTAGAGCTTGAGGAGGCACTCTTATTTATTCTCTTGAAAGAATATTAGAAAACCGATATTCACATTCACATTCGATAACAGCAAGATTTTTTACTCAAAACCCCTACCAAATATTATAGCATATGATGAGCGTTTACAAAGAGAAAAGAGTATTACAACTCCAATAGTATAGTCAGAATTTAGTTAACCAATTCGCCCAAAAAAATGATAATGATATCAAGCTTGAACATGACATTTTTACAAACTAACTCGACAATTTGCCATTTTCCGAAATCAATATATTATTGCACCATTACTGATTGTATCGAGAATATGAGATTTGATAAAATGTTACTAAGCAGATATTTATGAGTTGGTCTCCTACAGTGGATTTCATTTCTATATATCCTCAATTAATTGTCCTCACAATAAAAATCTCAAGAAAAAGTGTAAAAGAAATATGTTTAAAGAACACAAATTAAATTAATGGGTCTGAGAACACATTTTGGTTTAAACAGTTGAAAAGATGAGTTGGATTCCGGTAATTTGAACTAAGAGGTATAACCAGAATCCTATGACAAGAAATTAAGTTGAATGAAATATTCACCTCAGATCAAACATTAGCTAACTATAAGGGGTAATTTGAAATGACTAATAGATTTGATGGACTACATAGCAACTTTAGGGAATTGAGGGACATATTAAAAATTATTAAATATTTGACAGACCAATATCAAAAAATTCCAAATCATTAAGATAAACTATGACAACAATGGAAGGTGGATATGGTTACTATCTCTTTGTAATACACAATCCATCAACTACTCATCAAGTACTTCTTTTAACTAAAGGAGAACATCGAAAGAGGCTCTGATGAACAGTAACTATGCTGGACCAATCAGATTGTTCAAAAATTGCCACCTCATCTTAATTCAAAAATTTCCACCTCATCTCTCTGCTCTCTCTCCAGACTCTCCACACTTCTCAACCACTTGCAAACCCACGTTCACCCTGCTCTCTGTCCAGACTTTCCACACTTCCCAACCACTTGCAAGTTGCAAACCCATGTTCTCCCTGACCTCTCTCAAGACTTTCCACACTTCCCAACCACTTGCAAGTTGCAAACCCACGTTCTCCCTGACCTCTCTCAAGACTTTCCACACTTCCCAAACATTTGCAAACCACATTCCTTTTTATTAAAAACAAGCTGAAATTTTGAAAAACAAAACTCCATGTTCTCTAACCTTACAACTCAATCTCAATCTCTAATGGCGGACTTAGATCTAGCAACCTCCCTTCTCAAATAGTCGCCGGTAATGTCGGATTGATTCCTTGAGATCGCTCTATTTTCTTGACGATCTTTGATTCTTGCAATCAAAATCACTTCTTGGTTGAAAAAAGTAATTTATTTTGTACTTATTGTTGGATTTGGGTGAAGAATCAAACCTCTACAAGAGAGGTCGAGCTCCTTTCAGGCGAGCTCGAGATCCAAACGGGCTAGAGGCTGTCTGGCGAGGTCGACGGCGAGCTCGAGCGAGCGTGAGCTCTACTCTAGTCGAGCGTAGGCATGACGAACCCCTGCAGGCGAGCTCGAGCAACTTCAGGTGAGTGAGCGAGATGTAGGCGGGGTCGATCCAAGACAGGCGAGCTTAAGGCCTTTACAGGCGAGCTCGAGTTCAAGCGTTGTAGGTGAGCTCGAGCTCAAGCGCTGCAGACGAGCTTCGACGACAAGCTGTCACCAGCCTGTCGCTAGGGTTTCCCTATAAAAAGGAAACCCTAGGGCCCGAGATGTTGTCGTTCCCTTTCTTGTCTCTCGCGTTTTTACTGGCGGCTCTCTCTCTCTCTCTCTGCTTTCTCACGATCTCTCTCTCTTTTTCTCCTGTGCTCACGTGATTAGGGAAGGGAATTAAGAGAAAGAGAATTTATTGAGGAGGAATTTATTGAGGGGGAATCAACACTGTAGCTACAGTGTTGATTTGTATTTATTAAGAGATCTCAAGCTTGAGATCTGCTCTTGCATTGTTGTTTTACCGACGCTAACTAAAATCGTCGGGAAAAACATAATTTTTGGCGATGTATTTAACCATACATCGGGAATAAGCGTTGGGAAAAGTGTAATTTGTTGTAGTGAGTGTTAGTAGTCGACTACTAACGCTTGGTTGGAAATTTTTAGGTTCGGATGAACTCAGTGTAGTCGACTACTCTGGCAAATAGTTGACTACTAAAGGCTGTTGCCTGAATTTGTTTGATATTTGCTTGAGGTGTGTTTAAGGGGTTTTAGCGGCACTTCTATACATGTAACTTCATGATTACACAAGTACAATGTCAATACACATACATGTTATCCCAGAAGGAGATTTTGACAAGAGTTGAGTTGTTTATGTCGGGATTAGTTATTGTTACATATGAGTTGGATATTGTTAATGAGCACACCTCAGCATTATACGGGACAGTGCGTCAATATACTAATGTACACAGATTATTCATGGAATGGATATCGTTAATGAGCTCAGTTCAGTACTACACGAGTTAGTGCGTCGATATCCCATATGTACAGGCCATTGAGTCAGGTTTGGATGTTTTGTATAGCAGTTCATCCGCACGAGTGTGCGATGAGGATGGTAAGCCATCTATTTATGGTGATTATGAGCCATCTATTTAGATACCTATGTGGTAGGCCATCCCGCACTCAGGCTATGTGCTGAGATCGCGATGAGACTAATAAGCCGTGTACACTATTTAGGATACCTACAGGCCCGTTACATTTAGATTGTTGATCGATATTCTAAGACATGGACGGATGCCAGATATGAATATGATCCATTTTTGAACTATAAGACCGAGGTACTTGGCTCTTGAAAGTATACGGAATTATACGTTGGTATTTATTTTATCTTCCCAGTAATGGTGGAAGATATTATAAATACGATATATTGATATCTTTATTTCATTTACTGTTTTCTTTATCTCTTGGTTGGGATCGATGATTAGCGATTCACAATTTGAGACATATGATATATATATGAGGGTTTTCTTGTTTGGATTATTTTGTTCAACGTATCAGTCTCGTGTTATGAATTTCTAATTATTAATTTTGTTAGTTGGTCTTTTCCTAGTTAGGTGTTAATGTTTAGGTATCTACAATTTGAGACATATGGTATATACATGAGAGTTTCCTTGTTTGGATTATTTCGCTCGACGTACTACGTCTCGTGTTATAGTTTCCTAAATGTTAATTCCACTTAGACACAGGGAAAAAGAATCTGGGTAGACTATGCTTAATAGATAGAGC